ATATGGCCCAGGAGTTCCATGCCTACGTATATATATCTCCTGGGGAATTGACAACATATATTGGCTGAAAAATGTGTACATAAGTGTTTATAGAAACATTATTCATAATAGCCAGAATGTAATAGCAACCCAAATGTCCATCACCTAGTGCATGGATAAACAAAATGTGGTATGGCCACTCGACGGGATAGTATCCAGTTATAAGAAGAAGTCGAGTATTGCTATGAGTGCAAGATGGACGATCCTTGAAAACACGATTCTAAGTGAAAAAAGCCAGTCACAGAAGACCACATATTATACAATCCCATTTGTAGGAAATGACCAGAATAGGCAAATTCATACAGATAGAAAGTAGATTAGTGGTTGCCTAGGTCTGCAAGGTGGGAAGAAAGAGGTAAATTGCATAGGGTTGAGAGGAGGGTTGAGAGGGGGAAGGGGGGAATGAGCACTATTAGGCATGGGGCTTCTATTTGAGATGATTCAGATTTTTAAAATTAATTGTGGTAGTGGTTGCACAACTCTGAATGTACTGAAAAACATTTGATTTGTATACTTTAGTGGGTGGATTATATGGTATGTGAATTATATTTCAATAAAGTTCTTATATTTAAAAAAAAGCATACTACTTGAAGAATCTGCTAATGGTTGGCAAAAAAAAAGAAAAAGAAAATATTCTCTGGTCAGTTCTTAGACCTTCCAGTCACAGATACTGACTGAACTTCTGGATCAGTAGCTGTAAAGCTTGAGTGTGCCTTGGGGTTACCTTGGGGGCTTATTAAGACACAGATTGCTGGCTGGGAGTGGGGCCTAATAACTTGCTTTTTGTTTTTAAACAAATCCACACTTTTATTTATTTATTTTTCAATACTCTTAAGTCCTTCAGAGGTACAGCATCACACAGATTCTGTGTCCAGTGGCTTTGGCAGGAAGGTTGCTTCAGACTATGGCACAAACCACGCCACTGTCTCCATGAGCATGAGTTACCTTTCCCCAGATGACTCTGGTTTTATTTGGTTTTCCACCAGGAGTTATTAAGTTGTTCTTTGCTTTGTGCACAGAAGCACATCTCTTCCGTAGATGGAATTCAGTTTCATCTCAGGCATAAATACCTTCAGTTTTAGGAAGAGCTGTGTGCTCCCTCTGGTTCCAGAGACCCCACTTTTAGCCAGCAAATATGGCCTTGGACCACAGCCTCCTAGACATTTTGTTGTTTTAAAAATCCTATATCCAGCAGGCCTCCACAGGCTCCAGGATGCCTGAAAGAATAACTTGCATTTTTAACACACTTTGAGAACCACTGTGTTATCACGTTGGGATTAAATTTAACTTCTTTAG